TTCATCTGAGAAAAGGTAAGAATATTGCTTAATATTATACGAATTAAATTTTTAGTTTCGATAAAATAGTTGTTCCGAAGTTTTCTGAATTTTATTTTTTCTTAACATTGTAATTTTCAGACACAACCTCAAAATCCGGACGATGTGAACAAAATTTATCAATGTTTTGTGACTGGCAGGTCTGAGTTTTGAGTCTTGAGTCTTCCGAAGGTTCTACGTCACTTGGGGCTGGTGCAGGTTTCTTCAATAGAAATACAACCTTCCTGGTCCTTCCTGTTGCATGAAATGCATGCTGAATACATGCATTTCATCTAATTATGGAATAAAATGATCAGGGCAATCAGTTGTATTTCTAAGATGAGCACATCTTAGATAATCAGTCAATCATTCAAATTGGTTACTCCACATTTAAATATATTTTTGTGTTCCGAGAGGGAAAAAAGACAATATCATAGTACTTCATATTATAATACTTTCACTGAAATATCATCACTAACATCGAAAGGTTTAAATTTTGCTTAAAATAAAACGCCTGCATCTAAAACTTTTCCCTACTGTCACACTTACTGTTTCGTTATACTTTCTTCTTTTATTGTATTCGTTTTTGTATTTTAACTGTATAAACAAGTTTGCGACACTGTTCCCGACTTTTGAGTGACGTTATCAGTAAGTTCACCCATATATAGAATATATACTCTGTTAAAAGCAAATGAACACACATCAATTGCAAACATTTTTTGGTTTAGCAGGAAGCCGTGGGTTTGTACGGTGGTAGGTTCTCGGAATCAGAGGATTGAGGATGAGGTATTGATATCTGTTACAAGGCAAATGTCCTCCCAATTAATATGGCGTAGATATTGGAGTGTGGAGAACCGATCCATTTACCATGTTTTCTCTAACTACGGCTCAAAATTACGGCTCCTGTACGAAATATCTTTGGAGAAGCTTTAAACAAATCATTCTAGCTAGATAAAACCATACTAAAACAATATGCAGCGGTACATAACATTTGGGATCGAGCTCCTTAAAAGGACTCAAAATAACGACAGGAGAATGAGAAAACATTAAAAAGGATAAAAATTCCCCTAAAATTGATTATATTATTGGTATGTCAAAGAGGTTCCAAGACTAACTCCAAGAAGTGCTAAAAATAAATATAAAGGGTTTTGTTATCAGGGATATTGACTTGTTCTTTTAATGAGACATTATGCTAGATAAATCTACTGCTTTACGTTCGGAAGTTGTAATAGTGGAATTTTTGTGACCCCGAGAGGTGCGGTTATGTGATGAACAACTGGGTGGCACATCATATAAACATGAAATTTCGTGGAGGATTAGATGAACCTGTTATAGAGACATAAAACATGTTTTGGCCATCTTATGTCGATAATTGAGTGGTATGCAAGATATTTTTAGTGGCAAAGGCACGCAGACAAACCTCATTGTGCTTTTTGACATTCGTGATATTGTTCAATAAAAATCTGTCCTCCAAGACTAGAATATCAACTCAAATCTTTGACAAAATTCAGCGAAGTCTAAGAAAGTGCGCTCGAAGAAAAGAAAGAACTTGTGACAAAAGCAATTGGTTTCTCCAAAGCGATAGAACACTCTATCTGCACGCCTTCATCATCTGCGTGTTAATTTTTGGGTAGTAAGTGCTCACTAAGAAAGGGGCTTTCAAAATTTTAATATGTTCTTTAATTAATTAAAATCGAAATTTTGAAGTTTTTTCTCAATAACTTCGGAGCATATTATTGCACAAAACAAACCACTTTAAAATTTAAAAAAAAACTTTGCTTTTCATTGATGCTAATTTTATATTTATGCATTTTTTCTTTTATTTTATAATTTTTTCAAAATTGACAATTTCTAACAATGCTTTACACAGTTGTAATGAAATTAAAAACTAATTTAATTATTTCATCAAATTTTCAGCCACGTGCTTTCATCACTCTTGGTGTAACAATAAAAAGAATTGCTTCCTTCGGACATTAACTTCAAAAGAAGAATTTCACTTTCGTTTTTATAATCATAATAATATTTTTAGGATGCATTCTTTCTGTAAATTGAGCGATGACAAATTCGTTAGGCATAGAATGCAACGGCAAATGTAATCTTGCCAGACAAAGAAAAGACAGACGAATCAGGCCTAAAACGTTAGCATGTTACCATGTTTCAAACTAGAGATTTGAATATCGTTTTTTTTTCTTTTAATATATCTCAGTAGAAAAATAATAAAAATGGCACTACTTTAAAAAATTGCACGGAAAAAAATTTGATGATGAGTATTTAAAATTTTAGAGTTTATCAGTCTCGACTGTTGGAAGTTGAAAAATGGCTGAAATTATATAAAAATTTTATGTAAAATTCAGCCATACAAAAGACCAAACTAAGACACAGGTTGTTACAGTTGAATTTAGTTTGCACACAGTTGACTGTTCGTGGTTTTAACGTCCATTGATTTATCATACCCAGCCAAGTCCATGATTCATGACCATGGGAAAGTCGGACACAGTATAGGATTTTGATAATATGAGCTGGCTGGTAATAAAATGGCTAAAATGATGTAAAATTTTTATATAAAATTCAACGATACAAAGGACCAATTTGAGACATTGCTGTACAATTTAATTTACACATAGTTGACTGCTGGTAGTTTTAACATCAGTTGATTTAACAAGTCCATGTTTCATGACCATGGGAAAGTCGGACGCAGTGGAGGATTTTGATATTATTGAGGCCACATGTGTAACATTGCTTTGAGACCCTGCCCAATGTCGTGAATTCGCCGTAGACTTTATACTGTGAAATACTTCGAATAGATTTTAAGGCCCCCTAGTGTATCAAGGCACCAGGCGAGCGCCTCTAACACCTGTGCGAAAACCCGCACTGGTCGGGCATCTTTTGACGGCCAATGCGACCTCAGAGCACTTAGGTATCATCTGAGGTAGACATCTGTCTCAATTCCAATATTTGGGTGTAGATTGCCTTTCTATAGAACTTTCAGGGGAAATTAACCCACGTTTGTGATTCCTTGAACAATTACCAGAATAACTACCAGCAAGACCGCAGCGAGAAATTCCTTACTAAAGCATACATTTTTCTACTGATTTTTGACTAATGCTGGATAAGAACACAGGTAGAATCCTTAATTTTCTTCCTCTGGCTCATTTCCTCAACCATGAATGTCTAAACCCAACAGGCCACTACTAGACCCGTTAGACTTCTCCTCCGTTTTGTTTACACGCAGTAAAATTCAATTTAAAAAAGCGCTTACAAACTTATGTGTAGAATAAAACTTCTGAGGATTGTAGGAAACATTTATGATTCAACAAGCTTATTTTAAAAGAACTTTTCTTCAAGTTTCTGAATTATTTCTTTTACTTCAAAGTAATCTTCAAAAACATTTATCACATTTTTAAGCTCCATAAAAGAGGTTGTGAAGGATGAATATTTTAGGAAGCATGACATTTCGAAAAATGTTCTAAAATGGAAGAAAAGTAGCAAATCAAAAAGTGTTTACAAGAAAAGAAAGCTTTCAAGACGACTCTTGAGGGACTGTCGTTCAAGGAAGTGCAAAAATTGGAGTGTTCCATACTTGGCAAAATCTTGAAAATATTTTATACACAACACATGTAGACAAATATCCGTATGATGTGAAAATGTAATGATTGCTTATTTTTTTCCATATTTTGGGGCAACAAATCGAATATTATTTTTACCTCGTTTCACTATCTTTGTCTTATTTTATTTCCAACGAAGTTTTAACATTTTTAACGGCGCTATTAATAATGAAAGACTTCTGCGTGAATACTTCTTATCGTATGCAAATCTGACTATGATTTGAAATGAAATGGAGATGATGAATTGTTTTCATCATTGACACCAACACAGATGATGAATGCTTTTTTTATTTCATTTTCAACGTCTGGATTTTGATCCCTTCCTTTTGTGTTATTAACTTGCAATGATAAGAATATGAAACCATGAAATACTATATTTTCATTCATTTCATATTTCATTATTGCAGTATTATCTAGTTAAATTATTTAGCAAATTCTTAATTTAATTACGAAGCAAATGTATGGGTATTGGCACATGCAAATTCCAAAAGATAAGATTTTGGTTTCTTAATTTCAAATTTTTGTTTCAGAAGTCAGCTTTCACCAATCCCTCTTCTAATTTATTTTTCCTTGAGGCACAGTGATATAATTAGTTATAATTAATCGAGAGCATGTAATAGTACTAAGAAGAAACAAGAGATAGTCATAATTGATGTAGGAATGAAAGTTTTCACTTTTGAAAATCTGATTTCTAATTTCGAGTTTCTAGATAATTAATTTTAATGTATAAATATAATTAAAGCAGGAATATTCCAATCAAGCCTCCACTTTTCGTTGCCAACTTTCATTAAGTGCATTCATTATATTTACAGATACTTTTCAAACTCGGAACAAAGTAAAAATCTTTTAAAGCAGGCTTTATTACAATAACTCGATATCAGTAGACAGATGAATATCTTATAGAGGAATTTATTATTTTAATATGTTCACCGGTTAGTGAAAGATTTTAAACTAAAGGATTATGAGAAATGGACAGTATAAAATAAAGAATCCTGTGATTATATTGTGAGCATGGATTTAATTGTAAAACGTAGTTATTAACTGAAAACAATGGAAATCTTGCGTGTGACTAATACACCTGCGGTGTACGCGTACTTAAATAAGCACTAATCTATATACGATGTTGAAAAATGGCATGCATAAAATGTTATCTCAATTAATTGTTCATATAAATCCAATTTCAAAGAGAGAACGATCACAATGCACCCCACTTTACTAGAATTAGGAGAGCAAGAACGGGAATCTTGCATGTTACCATTACACCAGCGGAGCTCTGGCACAACATCCAACAACAATTCTGAATGAGAATGATGAAAAATGCCATGCCTAAAACTTTATATCAATGCTTTTTAACATTAATCAAATTGTTAATGATGATTCAAGTTTCAGGAATCGACCAGAAACATAAGAATGGGAATCGTACATGCTACCACTACACCAACCGTGCTCGTCAGCCAAAGCAAACAATTAATTTAAATTAAATGATGAAAAATTCAATACATAAAACTCGATGTATTGTGAACAGGAATGAAATTACAAAAGTTACGTATCCATTGTGCGGCGTCCTAGAATCAAAACCAAAGCGCAAAAAGCCGATTCTTGCATGTTACCACTACAAAAAAGGCGTTCGTGAATTCAAATCAGCAATCAATTTAAATGAGATGATGAAACGTTCCACGGATAAAACGTTGTCTCAGTGAAGTGGAAACATCAATCATATCGGAAAATGTGGACTATCTCAATTTGTCTCCTGGTATTCAAAACCACAACACCAGGATAGGAATCTTGCGTGAAAAAACGCTGGCGCTCGGAAACCAGAGCCAACAAGGAATTAATATAAAGTCATGAAAAACGTTCATTAATGCATTTTGAAAATGAATCGAAATTCAACAGAAAAATTAATTTAGCTCCACCCTGTAATAGAACCCAACGAGCAAGAAAGGGAATTTTTTTCATTACACCAAAGCCGCTCGGCAACCCATATCAATAACTAATGTAAATTAGATGATGAAACCCGCCAAGTTTAAATCGTTCATTCAATTCATTTTAATAACCCAATTGCAGAAGGTAATCAACAACAGTGCGCCTTCTGAGAATGAAACTTGGTGCACAAGAACGGGAATCTTACATGCGTTTACAACACTAGCAGCGCTCAGGAACGGGGCAAAAATTAATGTCAATAAGATAATGAAAACTGCCATGCACAAAACGTTACATTGATGCATTGCTAACATTAATCAAATTGCAAAATGTAGGCAATAACCGTGCGCAGCCCGAAAATAGAATAAAAGCAAAAGAATGGGAATCTTTCCTGTTAAAACTGGACTGTGAAGCTCGAATATTCAACATAATAAATCAATGTAAAGAATATGATGACAATCGTCATGCATAACTCATTACATCAATGCATCATGAAAAAGAAATCAAATTTCGAGAGGTAAGCAATCACAGGTCTCTGCCCTGTAATGGAACTAAGTACGGGAGAAAGAAAGATTTAGTACGTTTCTTTACAGCAGAAGTTCTAGGGAACCTATATCGACAGCTAATCTAAATGAGATGATGAAAATTGTTATGAACTTAACTTTATCTCAATACATTGTGTAAACTAATCAAATTTCACAACGTAAACAGTCACAGCGCGCCGCCCAGGAATCGAAGCCTGAGCACAAGAATGGGTACCTTGCTTGTAGCCATCACGCCAGTGGTGCGTAGGGAGCTGATCCGACAATTAATCAAAATAAAGTGAAGAAATATGTCATTCACAATTCGTCACATCGATGCATTATGAAAGAGAATTAAAATTCAAATTGTAAATATCAACAGCTCACCCCAGGAGAAAAAAAAGGTGATAATACCATGCTTAAAACATTACCTCAAAACATTTTGTATCAGAATCTAATAACAAAAGATAAACAATCACATTGCGCCGCCCTGTAATCAAACTCAGTGAGTATAGAAAGGGGATTTTGTTTGCTTCCACTTCACCAGCGACGCTCGGGAATTCATACCGACAGCTTATCTAAATGAGATATTAAAATATGTTACACTTAAATTGCTGTCTCAAGGTATTCTGTGAAGTAATCCTATTTTTCAATAGATAAAATAATTACAGTGCGCAGCCAGAAATCAAAACCGGAATGGAATAAATGGTAACACACAGGAACATTGAAATTCATAATGAAAACTATTCTAAATAAGATGATGATAAATGCTATTCATAAAACTTTACCTCAATGCCATTTGCGCATTAATCAAATTTCAAAAAGTTCACATTTACAGTACTCCATCCTGGAATCGAGCCTGACGTATAGGATCGAGAATTTGGTATGTCATCACTATACCTACAGCAATGGGAGGGAGAAAGCAACTACAAATTTTAATAAATTGATGAAAAGTGCCAAGTATTAAACATTATATTGATATATTGTGAACATGGGGAATCGTATGTCAGAGGAGCAAAATACTCCTCCTGTAATCGAACAAGACCCACGACAAAGGGGGATTTTGTATGTTCCTAATACATCAAAAGAGGCTCAGGAACTCATAGGGAAAACTAAACTAATGCGATGATGAAGCATGTCATGCATGGAAAGTTACGTAAATTCAATTGAAAATTAAACCAATTTTTAAAAAATAAACCATCGCAGTGAGCCTAGAGGAAATGAAACATGGATTGCACGAATGGGAATCTCAATTATTACTATTATACAACACACGCTCGTACGCTCAAATCCTCAATTAATCTAAATAATACGAGAAAAAAGAACGTTCATAAAACTTTATCTCAATGCATTATGAACTTGGATCAAATTTAAAAAGGTAAACAATCATAATGCGCCTGGGAATCAAACCTAGAGCTCAATAATCCGAATCTTGCATGTTACCACCAAGCGGTTGTCGGGAAACTGCACCGAAAAGTAATCCGAATAAGATGACGATTAATGCTAGGTATAAAATATTATATAAATGCATTGTGAAATATGTAGAATCAAACTGCAAAAGGTAAACAACACTGCGCCACCCGGGAATCGGTCCAGCAGAGCAAAAAGGATAACCTTAAAATTTCATTACTGCAGTGGTGCTCAGGAACACAAACCAACAGCTAATTGAATTATTAATTTAGCTCGACGGCACAAATAAGTGCATAAATATTTAAATTATCTGTAATAAAATAACGATAATATCATGCATAAAGCGATATCTAAAAACATTTTGAATTGGGACCGAATTAGAAAAGGTAAAAAAATCCACGATGCGCCGCCCGGGAATCGAACCCGAGGCACAAGAATGGGAATCTTGCATGTTACCACTACACCAGCGGCGCTTGGGAGCCTAAGCCAAATGATAACATAAATATCATAATAAAAATATTCAATCCATAAAACTATTTTATTCCTTTGTGAACTTGAATGAAATATTTATACCTAATTATTAAACTGACTTTTTTTGCTAAAACGAAGAACGCGTATCAAATTATTTACAGAAAAGAAATTCAACATTTTGGTCAAAATAAAACTTATCTCCTATGTTTTTAACTATGCTCTTTCACTGAGGGAAATTTTCGGCGCCAACAATTTCAACTCAAGGCTTACAGAAAAAAAAGAGTACTCAAGAAATTGCTGTTGGAAGTTTCATAGGAAATCTTTAAAGTCAAATAAGCGTGCAAAGATTGCTTATAGAATGTGCTCATATTTAAGCTAATCTTACCTTTAATTTTTACGTCAGTAATCTCTTGAGAACAAAACAAAAAATGCAGAAAGTGTTTCAATAAATGAAAATGTAATGATTATTATCTTTGATTAGAAATTGTGATTGTTATTAATGAACCAATTTCATAATGCTTTTTGAATTTCTAGCTCGAAATAGAAAAAAATTCTATAAAGTATATTTTTTGGTGCATAATTTTATTCATGTTGTCGTCCTCTGGTATGGCTGAAAATTGGAAAAGCAGTTTTCAATACCTTTTGTGAAGCTTCAAAATGGGAAAAAAAACAATTAGAAACATTCGGTCTCACATATTTCAGTTTTTTTTTAATATTGGTATTCAGTAGAAAGATCCAATAATGTCTACAGTTTTCCATGATGTTTACAGGATAATTCAAATTTAGAGAAACATTTTCAATATATTTTTAAATATCTACATTATTCGTATGTTTTCCGGTTTACAATTCTATGGGTGAAAAAATATAAATGGTTGAAATGGCAGGAGATACATTGATAATACGTTTATTTCATAAAAATTACAATTGTAAAATGAAGGGTAATCAATTAATGTTGTTAACTTAATTTTTTATGAGAATCTTTGGAGAGGCTTAGAATCAATTTTCAAAAGATTTAATTTTGTTATAAACGGCTTTAACCTAATCTTGACGGTATGGAATTTCTTTTCTTACAAAAGTATTTTGAATGTTTATATTTTATTGAATTTGAAGGCTTATAACTTATGAAATACGATGTTCATATTTTATCTAACACGTTATTTATACTTTATCGGATACAATGTTAAAATTTCATCGAATTTTAATTATCATGTTTCATCGATATATTTTAATACCTAAAAATATTCTATCACTAGCTGTTATTCCCGGCGGTGCTCGGGATTAAAATACTTTTATGTCTAATATATTTAATGAAAAAAACTATTTTTGTATAGAAAATTAGAATACAAAAATTCTTTTATCGCCTGAAACGTTTTTGCTTCAAATTTCGTTCAAAAATAGTAAAGTTTAAGAAGAATTTTGACGAATATTTTGTGTCAATTAATTAAATAGTTAAATTTTCATTAATAAAAAGCTTCAAAATATACCAAATCAAGAGTTGTGCCCGATATAAATTATGTATCGTCTGCTTTTAAACTTTTCTTTTAGTATTCTTCCAGAATTTTGTTTATATGTTCTAGAAACAGCTCTTCGTACGTATTCTTGTTCTTTAACAATAAAAAATACATTGCTACAAATTGTGAATTTTATACACAATTGAATATTTTTTTAAATTATTGGAATGAGAACAACAATTTGAACACAAATGAAATTTGTGTCACTGAAAAGGTATTTTTTAAAATTTAATATAGTATAAAAATAGTTATTGTAACATAGCACTTTCGAAATATATCACAAAGAAACGCAAAATCTTGCTTACTTTTTAATTTAAAAAATTTTAATTAACTTTTGTGCCTTTTAAAGTTGACAGTGATCTTTCGCTTCTTTTAAAAATATTTACAGAAATAAAAAGAAATTTATTAAAAGTCTCATCGTTCCCTAGCAACGAAATATCTATAAAAATGCTTTATTTCAAAATCGTCTGCAAGTAATAAATTTTTTAAAAAATTTAAAAAATAATAAAATTTGAAGGAAACATTGCAAGGAAAAAAATGGTATCATTGAGAAGGTAAAAGTTTAAAGTTTAAGATGGTATAAAAAATTTTTTTCGGACAATCTGCTCCGTAGT